GGCATCTTCAATTTAGATACTTAAGTAATCAACAAGAACATTAAAGTAATTTTATGATTTTGACAGTTGTGTCAATATTGTTCTTCACAGCCGCATTGGCATTTATCTATAATGAAAGACGCATTCTAAACAAAAACACGTTTGTAACAATATTTCGGATTATAGGAGAAAGAGGGAGAGTTAAAAAAACAGCTTTTTGAAGAAACTCTCACAAAAACTACACGCATGGAGTAATACGAACAGACTAAAAATAAAAATAAAGTACTATAAAGTTTGTGTATTTTCGATTTTTACGGTTTTATTACCTTTGCTCTGATATTGTTGCCAAAAAAAAAAATAGCAAACTCAAAAGTTGATATATCGTTGAAAAGCTTACTAAATACAGTAGTTTTTGCTGAAGAAAAACACGTCCTCATTAACAAATTTTTGGCGTTACCACCAATAAAGAGATACCAGTAATTTTGCTCATTTCACAATTATTACATTTAACTTTTTACAGCACCTGGTATAGAAGATTTTTTAAACACTCATATCGTCTTGTAGTAAATTTAATGCTCCTTCCGATGGTATGTCTAAATTTGATGTGGCTGTAAGAATAACAGAGATATTTTTGTTTTTATGAAAAAAGGCACAACAATTTTAGAAATAAAAAAATGTTAAATAAAAGAGCAACTGCCAACTTTCCAAAAAAATCTTATAATACTTTTTTGTTGAAAATTACTTGTATAATAACCCCCTGAAGTTTGGCCATCAGCATCCTTACACCCTGTATCCTGCTTTTTTAAGTCGCATCATAAATATTTCGGTCGTCTTAGGTCAAATTAGGGTAAAGTTGAAAAATTTGACGACGAATAACATGTCGAAGAGAAGTTTAACTTACATTTTTTCAGTTTAAAGTTACCGACAAACTTTGATTTTCGTTTTTTTTTTAATTGAAACATTTTGTATTTTTTGTTTTCTTATGGATGCTATTTTGGATTTTCGCATAGGTTTTTGAATTCTAGAGTTTTTTTTGTATTTGCTGAAATATTAAATTCAGAACGTCAAAAGTTCAAAAGACACTAATAAAACTAATTTTGACATGAAGAAGTAAGAGATATACTCAAAACACGAATATTTACGAAAAAGATAGGTCAAATTTATCTTCGGAGTCTTTTAAGGTACAGAGCGTTCATAAATGATTACAAGCCACGTGACCATCAAGCTTAGGCAACCCAATACTACGCAACTGGTACTGTCAACTAAAAATTCCTAAACCTTAACGTTATCGAAATTAATGATTTGTTTACAATGAACAATGACAAACTGTTGCGTCTACGCTCGAAATAATGCGACCACTGATTGATGGAATAAAATCTTGCTGGTGAGACAGTAATGTAATTTTGATCTTATTGCTTTAATTTTACCGAAATTGTATGAAGGAAATAAAGTCACTGTTCCAAACAAAATTACTAGTCACGTGGCTTGTAATCGTTTATAAAGGCTCTGTATAAGAGCTTGGTTCAGACAGATTTTCATGCCAAGTATATCGGATATACTCGCAATAGGTATGTTTGTCCAGTGTCTCTTAATTAGAATAAAAAATGATTCTAAGCTCACAGAAACACCTACTAACCATTAAAGTGACTAAAACTTTTTTGAAAATTAAATCAGAAATAAAAAAATGCGAAATTGACAAGGCTAGCGCGTGTGACGTCACGTTGCGGAACGGACACCAGGTATTTCAGTGTCGTTTTATCACATTCCTGTTTTTCCTGAGTCATAAAGGAAACTCAAACTGCGTTGAAGTGAGTAAAGAAGTGGTGTTTTGTTCTTAGGTTTACAAATACATCGATAAATAAACCAGAAAAGGTGTTTACAAGTGCACCATCTGATCTGCAGAGAAGCGAGCTTATATAAGTTTTAATAAAATCTCATTTTTATGGATTTGAAGATCATTTTAAAGTAAGACAATAATATATTTCTGTTATAATTATGAAACTTTGTATTATTTTTGTATACCATTCTTTATATTTTTTTGGAATTTGGTAGTTTAGTACCTAGTTTATATTAAAGTAGATCATTTGAAAAATAAAAACTTTTGTAAAATACGTTTATAAATACCGGCTGTCGATTATGCAACTTTTTTCAGATCCCTCATTCCTATGTAGCTATTACATGTAATTTGTAATACCCTATATAACAAAGTACTAAGATTTCGTACTTTATAGTTCTTACTACTTATTTATGTAAAATACAGTTTTGTTTTTACACCGGATTCAGGTTGATTTAATTCTTTGCACACGACCAAAAATTCTGCCTTTTGAAAACCTTTTTCTATTTTTCATTTAATTGAAATTAAATAAACTACAAAGGGAAGAACACAATGGTATATGTTTAAAATTTACTGACGTTTAAATAAAATTTAACTTTTTTGTGAACATCATAAAATTTCGGTACAATAAAAATTCTGTAAACATTAAAAAAATGTAATTTCTATTAGTAAATTATGTCCCAGAACATGTTAATTTAAAATTTGAATAAATCAAGCAACGCCAAGGGCCGAATTTAGCTTTGCGCCCTATACATTTTCCAGTAGTCCCGTAATTTGGGAAAATTCTCTGCCCCTGACATTTTCCATTCAATTTGCCGCAAAAAGCTACTCTTTGATAAAGCTCTTTGACACCGTCCGTTATTTAACCGGATCGATAAATTGTTGAACCGGAAGAATTAAAAACCAAAGATTACACGCAATCCTATAAATTTAACGTAACAGATTGATTTGAAACTGGTACTGTTGTTTTCCACCAGTTTTTCTCATGACGAATAAACATTCATGATTCTGTGTTTGCTTTATCGTTGCAAAATTAATGGAAACGCGTATGGATTTGCTTGTTAATTAATAAAATGACGAAATATACGGATTTAGAATATCAGTACGGTATTTCCTGTTAATATTTATTAATACTATTACGTTTGGCGTTTCCTATTACGTCATACACCACAATTACGCAGGTATAATGACATTATTTATTAAAAATTCGACATTTTTTTTTCGAATCGTGGTGAGATGTTGCTGTTCGGTACAGTGCGAATTATCTTTTATGCGAATTAATTTGTGCTGGCCGTTTATTTGGTTTGTTCTACCGCTGAACCTCCTGAAAAATCACAAATTTTTTGACATTCAATGAATATTTTATTTTAATATAAAAAATACCTAAAGCGCGTTAAATATTAAATTTATAGATGCTGCTGCATTTTAGTCCAATTTACTCCTACGCTTTAAACTAATGACATTGTGTGAAACGACTACTCTGCGGACTAAAGCCCCGGCAGCCATTGAATTACATCTATAATATCTAGTAAATAGCTAAGATTATTCATTAATAGAACCGCCAGACAAAGACCGGATTCAAACTTATAGTTCTCATCAGTATATTCAGACATAAAAAAACTCTCTGTAAATTATATCTCTCCTTTACTTGTTTGCCCTTATGACATTTGGTTCGGATAAAGTAAATCATATGTGGAATCAGAGTATGTAGTCAAAAAAAATTGCATTTAATTAACGGACTGGCGAATAAAAAGTGATTCATTATTTTATACTCAGTAAAGGATCTTGCATCTCTGAAAGTTCTATAATAATTATTGTCTGGATGAAAATTATAGGAGTTCTATTAAAATGTTACCACGTGCAAACAATTGCATGTGAGGCTATATGAAAAAATGCCTTTTTAAAATGCAAAATCAACCTAGAAACAAATATAATGTTTTCTTGTAAAATGTCGTTTTTATATTATTTGTGTATTATACTGTCGTACTCTTATTCGTATAGTCAAAACTAAAGTGCAACATTTTTAAATGCCCATTTGGATGAAGTCTGAGTATCCTAAGTGTAGGTTGTTCTACCTAACTACGGGATTAAGCACTAATAAAATATATTTTTTTGTTCAATGCATTATGTTCATAGCCATATCTCTTTTGGCCATATCTCCCATGAATCTAGAAATATACCTATCAAACTAGATTACCACAATTCTAAGAAAACTTTCTATTCAAATACATAAAAATATACAGGGTGTTCCGTTAAACAGAAATAGGAGTAGGCTTTGTTTCTATACTGTTAGTATCTTTGTTTTTCCAATTGTTTACTTGAAAGACAGCATGGGAAAAGTCAAAATATTTTTGTACAATTTTATTTTTCTACTTCTTAAATGTTCTCTCTAGGTGTCAAATATACATTGAATTATGTGCTAATCGTTATTTGTAATGTATGGAAAATTAGAAGCATATTTTACTGTAATCCAACGTGCCCTAAATTTGTTTTTAGTTCAGTTAATGTAAAACAATATGAGATCAAAGCTGTGGTTAATGTACTCTTTAAACTAGATTATAATTGGTAATCTCAGTACACTAAAATTTAATGAATCTACAATAGTTCAATAGTACAATAAAATCGACGTTTTAAGTTTTATTTGAAATTGTCTGGTATTTTGAAATTATTAGAAATTTAGTTTCACGCCGAGGAAATTTTGTCTTGAGTGTAACAAAGTTATGCTGAAACTACAAGAAGAAATTGATAAAATTGCCCATCACCGAAAGTCGTGAAAATGTGACAGAGGTAGTAAGGATGATATTGAAAAACTAATTGTACAAAGGAGACTTTATTCTATATACATGCTAACAAAATGTCTAGTGACGTAGTTTACTATACAGGTTTTAATAACTGTTGTAAAAATCCAAAGTACTACATGCACTCATATAAAAAAGCCAAAGGGAGTATTAATAACCTCTTTCTAATCATTATTTAAATACAATATCACAAAATTATAAACTTATAAAGGACAGGTAGTTAAAAAGTAATTAATTTTCTAATGACAGTACCAACGGAAGGCGTTTTAATTTATAAGTAAGTATTTCTAATTATTCCTTAATGCCTAGCAATTATTTTAAAGCTTCATTCGATCTCAATTAGGGGTTTGGTATAAAAGTAAGTTAGAGCTAAAACAAAATTTAAATACCTTCTAATTTTTACACTGGCATCTGGGGAGATGCGGGCTATCTGTTTGTCGCCGTTCTGGTTTTCCACGGGAATATCTTCTTCTGCGCCGGGGTAATCTTCGGGGGATTGGAGTACTTTCGGAGACATCGGTGGCTGGTCGCTCGGAGAATCTAAACTACCTTCGTCGCTGAAATAAATAACTGGATTGTAATACAACACGTTTAACAACAGATATGTCGTAGTTGTAAGTTGCTGAATTCCCTTTAGAAACTGCCGTTCAAGCATTAACAATTTAAGTAGTAAATTGGATTATCTCCTAAGTCGCTAGAGCTATAGCGAAAAACGCAAGTTTATGAAATAAAAGTTATTTACTGATATTACGGTAGCTAATGGACTCGTCCATAAGAAATCGCAAAATTTGAAGCCCTAGAATTAAGACATAAAATAATAGATCATGTGCATTAGTTCCAGAGGTGTGTAAATAATAGTTGTTCAGTACAAATTAGTGGCAATTGAAATATCATTTCCACAGTTCATTGATACTTTAAATAGTTGGTTTGTTGTAATGCCCTCTCTTGTACCTTCAAAAAACGATTTTTATTATAAAACTGTTGGATATAAGTAAGACTTTTACATTAATAGAAAGACTCTTCTATCTATGTAAATTTCCTTCTTAGAGTTAATGGGTCTTGAATATTTCAAAATCTAGGCTATCGTTGAGAGGATTTCTTGTAAACATCGTCTACCAAATAAAGATAGGGTTCTTCAAGCTGTAGCGATATTCGAAACTAATGAAGACGGTGGTTGACACGTCATCGACGATTTATACTCGGAAATTAAGTCTTCTGGCTGGTATTTATATTAGTTGTGTGTGCTGGTGTATCGTGTTCCGGTCCTTCATTTTAAATCTAATATAGATCAAGACGTATGAGATCTTAAAATGTTAAAACTTTCAGGAAAATTGTGGTCCTCTGAAAATACAATACGGCGCATCATATTGCATTCGAAATTGACTTTTGTCATGGCATATTAAATAAAAACGAATGTCAAATTTTTCAGATTTGTGCAATAAGAATCTAATATGAGTGTAATAGTGATTCTAAGATTACTAATTAAGAATCTACCACTAGCTTTCGAAGTTCCAAAGATTTCTTCCACTATTTAACCCACTTTGCCGCAGCGAATATTTTGAGTAAATTTAAAGTACCGGCATGGTATTTGGGGTCTGAACTCTACTTTAGCATTGAAATTTAAAAATTCAAAATGGCAGATCCAATATGGCGGACACAAACCATTTTAAACCTATTTTATAGCTACAGCAAGATTTCGAATAAATTGATAGTATTAGTATGGAGGTGTTTTCGAACTCTGATTTATTTTAATCCATTGTAATTCCAAAAATACCTATGTGAAGACCATTGATTAGCTCACTAAATATTTACAGGTATTTTTGTACGTGCATTTCACTTTTCCACATCTAGTGGATCCGCTATTTTGGAATTTCGAATCCTAATGGTACATTCTTAATTAGTGTCTTAATTTGATTGTGTAATCAACTTAATTTGTCTGTTAATCAATTTTGAATGAATTTTTTTCGTAAGAAGCACCGTTTTTGAAGAAAAAAATAAAACATATTTTATTGTAGGTTTTGTTAATCTTTTATTTAAGGGCCTCTTTTAATAAAGCGTGGTCGAAGTAAAAATTCACCATTGAAAATAAAAAGTTGATATGAATGTGGATAAAAAAATTGTTCGATTTCGAGATACAGGATGTTCAAAACTCTTTGAAATAATTAATAAAAATAAATAAAAAATTTATTCTAGATACTGTATCTCGGAAACGAACCATATTTCGATTTATATGAACTTTTTTTCACAAAATAACTTCAGCAACCACCCTCTAAAATATTTCGCAAATATTTATAAACACACTGTATAATATACATATACAGGGTGAGTCAGTTTCTTGTGGTAGTATTTTAACAGTTGATAGAGATTCATTTTTTAATAAGAAAAGTTCCTTTTAACGTAGATCTTAAGAACGCTTCGTTTGTGAGATATAGGGTGTTGAAAACAAACTTTTTTAAATAATTTTTCTTAATATCTCTAAAAGACCAACAGATATTAAACTGAAATTTGGTATTAATAATACATTAGTTATGTCGTATAAAACAAAGATATCTATTATCCATTTCACCCACCAGTGACGTGCCTGAGGTGGGTTACTGCCCCCTTTAAAAAAATAATTCGTACGCCCGTGGATTTTTCTGGAAAATAACATCGTTTCTAAATTTTTTATTCAATTCTGAACAAAACAGCTCTCTTTCAATTTTTTATAAAATGAACGGATTCTGGTTAAATTCATCTGGCATCGCTCAAAAGTAACTTTCCATTTGCATTCAGTATTAATGAAAACAGGGAGGTAGCCAACATTTCGTGAGGATTTGAATGTTTTACTCTATAGCAAATAATTACCGTTAATATCAAATATTATTGGGGATATTGTAAAATTGATTCTACGTACTGAGCTTAGGACGGCGATAAGAACTGTCTAAAAAGCTCACTAGAGTAAACACTCCTACCTTATTCTCATTTCAGGGATGATATATGGTGCCTGGTGATTGGAACTCGGTGAAGGATTGGCAGTCTCATCTTCAGGCGTTTGTGGTACAGTACCTCCCCCGCATTCGAGGATATAAAGGTTTTCGCACGCTATGTCGGACACGTAGTGTAAATTCTCTTGGGCCTTGTCGATGCGGAAGAATCTCTCAGCCGTGCAAGCTGGAACGGAATGGGACAATATAATTTCGCTTTTTGTTTATTCTTTCAGAAATTTATGCACCGCTCAGATATGTGGGTACACTATTTCTACAAAATTATGACAGGAATAACTGTATTATTTTTATTTTTATCAAAGTTTACAAATAGTAGGCAGTAAAGCTGATAAATTAAACACAATATTTTATAAGTTCTGAATATGTAAAATAATTTTATATATTCTCTGCATGGAAATTGTAATATGCCCTTCATTTCGTATAGTGTACCGATACGTTGAATCTACGCCCACTCAATTGTAATGCTCAATTTTAACAAGCATTCACTTCAATCTTAGCTAATCGTACACACTAGCGTTGTATAGTTTCATTTCCCGATATACTAGATCCCAGCCTGGACGTTTCCTTTCATGTCATATGCGTGCCACAGGAGAAAAAGGTGTTATTAGTTTTATATTTTAGTTACTCCAGTTTGTTTTTAAATATGGAAAGGCACTAATGTTAGCGGCCAATCTGTTAATAGATCAAGATCGTTGTACTAGATACAAACAAGGTTTATTAGGGTATTCCAGCCTGAAACGATGATACGTTGTAAGTTAAGTTCTAAAAATGAAAAGGTTTTGACGAAAGTGTTTACCTCGCGTTGAAAGTGAAAATGCAAAAAAGCAAAGCGAAACACATTTCAGGAAAAAAAAACTAAAATTGACCATGAAGATAAATATGCGATTCAAAAGAAACTGATTTAATTTTAAAAAATAATTTCCAACATTAAACAAATTTCAACCAGAAGGTCTCGGAGAATTTTACTACAGTATGTGCATGAAATGATTTTTTTTATGAAATTGAAAAGGTAAGCTAATAGAAAAGAACGAAATTGTATGAATTTGAATTTAGGAAAAATAATAGTGTCGTACTCTGAAAACCAAAATTTATTATTTCGACAAGATATGAATAAATGAAGGACATAACGCCCAAGGATAAGGAACACTTAAATATCAACAGCAGACGAGAAACTTTTTTTACAAAGATTTTTTACGAGATTATTAGGTATCTTTTAGGAAAGGACGGCGATTAATAATTACACATTGCAAGTGAATGCAGAATTTAGTGATTCACAAGAGTTTGTATCGCAAAGAAGAGGAGGTTACTATGGATACGGTATTTGAAAACTAGTTTGCACATATTTCTCCTCCATCGAACCTGGTTTAGTGATTACCATGGATAATGCGCCTTACCATAGCCGACGAAAGGAAGAATTATCAAAGTCTTTATGGAGAAAAGGAGAAATTGTTGAGTGATTGAATGTAAAACGTGTTGAATATAAAGACAAGATGTTAAAAGTACAATTATTAGCAATTATACAATACAGGAAAAAATCAAATATATGAAATATAAGCTGGCGGTGTTAACTCCTTCGATTGCCACCGTACTGTAAGCTGAAACGCACCGAACTAATCTGGTAGGATATAAACCTGACGCGACATGGAATAATATGCATGTACAATGTAGGATACAAGAGTTGAAGGTACAATAGAACTTCTTGTCATATCTTCAATAGTGTTAACGTTAGTGACGGTGACAGCGGTGGCGATAACAGTAGGTAATTGATGATTTTAATAATGCTTATAACGATCGTTTTTAGTGTCTTCTCGCTGGCGCATCTCATTTTTCAGTGGTGTTTTACGTTTTGTAGTTCTACTGATTTTGTGCTGTTTAACTGTTACAGGACTTATGACAGCGCGGTTTCTTGTTCAGTTAGCGCTGGTCACATTGCCTAATAAAAAAGAAGAAAAAGGTGTACACGGGTCGTAGTAGGGCATCTTTGCCACGAGGGCAGAATTGTTGANAGGAACACTTAAATATCAACAGCAGACGAGAAACTTTTTTTACAAAGATTTTTTACGAGATTATTAGGTATCTTTTAGGAAAGGACGGCGATTAATAATTACACATTGCAAGTGAATGCAGAATTTAGTGATTCACAAGAGTTTGTATCGCAAAGAAGAGGAGGTTACTATGGATACGGTATTTGAAAACTAGTTTGCACATATTTCTCCTCCATCGAACCTGGTTTAGTGATTACCATGGATAATGCGCCTTACCATAGCCGACGAAAGGAAGAATTATCAAAGTCTTTATGGAGAAAAGGAGAAATTGTTGAGTGATTGAATGTAAAACGTGTTGAATATAAAGACAAGATGTTAAAAGTACAATTATTAGCAATTATACAATACAGGAAAAAATCAAATATATGAAATATAAGCTGGCGGTGTTAACTCCTTCGATTGCCACCGTACTGTAAGCTGAAACGCACCGAACTAATCTGGTAGGATATAAACCTGACGCGACATGGAATAATATGCATGTACAATGTAGGATACAAGAGTTGAAGGTACAATAGAACTTCTTGTCATATCTTCAATAGTGTTAACGTTAGTGACGGTGACAGCGGTGGCGATAACAGTAGGTAATTGATGATTTTAATAATGCTTATAACGATCGTTTTTAGTGTCTTCTCGCTGGCGCATCTCATTTTTCAGTGGTGTTTTACGTTTTGTAGTTCTACTGATTTTGTGCTGTTTAACTGTTACAGGACTTATGACAGCGCGGTTTCTTGTTCAGTTAGCGCTGGCTACATTGCCTAATAAAAAAGAAGAAAAAGGTGTACACGGGTCGTAGTAGGGCATCTTTGCCACGAGGGCAGAATTGTTGATTGCATACTTTAGTATAAATAAAACTCCTTAGCACTTACCTGTTGATATCTGGATATACAAAAGTGAGTTTTGTGATCATATTCTACTTTTACCAACATATCATTTGCTGTTCTGTATTTAATTATTTCTCTAAAATGATACGCATATGGAATAGCACTCCCTATATACCTTTACAGAGATCTACATGTTGCGATTAGTTATAATTTTGGTGTTTATTGTTTTCAGTCAGATAAGAATCTGAGTAAATGCTTCAACAAAGTAATTTTATAGACTTGACGCTCAATGATAATTCACAAATTAGATGTAATTAACACACATTTTGTTAAGATATTTACTAGCCTTTCAGGCAACTTACTAATCTTCATGGAAAATATAATCACAAAAAAAACGAAATTTACTAGATACTAATATTCTGTTTGTATCGAAATTAATGATGGAAACTACAAAGTGCATTTCTATACGAGGTTTTGTCTGTTTACTCACAATCTACGAAACACCAGTCATGCGATATCCTCATTTGGTCCTTGTTTTCTTCGATAAGTTTATTAATCTGTGCTCTAACTTGTTCCAGATCTGATATAGGGTTAACTTCTATTTTTCCAATATTTATGGCTGAAAATAGAAAAAGAAATTAAAACATTTATAAAATCGACTAAAAGCGACATATATTTGAAAATAATAAGATTATTTACGTTTAAATGTACCTACAGTTTATACAGAGTGACGTAGAATAATGGTAATATTCTCTACACATGAAATTTGGTTCTTTTCGTTCATTATATTATTATTTGTGAAGTGTGCTGTGACAAAAAATAAGTTTTGTGAAATTGAAACATTACAGCATCATCAAATTTTCAATAAAGGAACTTAACTACAATCAAAATCTTTAAAGACAAAAAACATGTAAAAAACAAAAAGTGTTTAAATTATTACTAACGTCCTCTACGTTTTACGTAAAAAATAAGTATATCTTCACATTCAACTACTCGTATGTTAAAAATTCCCTTATATCAAATTTCGTTGAAAAATCTTTAAAAGTGAGAGAAATATCCTAAAAAAATTGTCTCTAAAGACACGACAATTTTTTAGGAAGAAAAATTGTATTAAGTTATAGTCTTTCCGATCTCAATTGAAGAACCAAGAGGTTGGCAGTATGTACCAGTTTCGGTCGCTGACGCAGCAACTCGGCATTGAAATATTTGAAAAACTTATATCATATTTACTCATATTTATTTAGTCATACCCATATACAGGTCTGGCTGAACAAAACGTGAAGGTGGTAGAAATGTATACGCCCAGATGAAGAATGCGCGTGCGTGCAAACGAAATACAAACACAGTTGCATTGGACGATAGGGCAATAAATCTCAGTTATTGACAAATGGTTGACAAATTGCCTAGCAATGCAGTGCAGCAATGTGGAATATGGTGTAATTCAGGTACGTAATTTTAATTTATTGTAGGCACCTTCTATAAATCATTGATATTACAATTGCGAAAGGGAGAAATAACAGGGATATTTTGTTTACTAATATTATTACAACATGGAATTTTGGAGACCTTTTGAAACGGAACAAAACAAAATTTACCATCAATATAATAAAATTGTTTGAGGACATAAATAATTAAAATATGTTGTTGGCCAAATGAACAAATAATAGAAATTTTCTACACATTATATACAAATTATTATAATTTTTTACCATTAGCAGAAAACTTTTTTATTGCTGGGCGTTGTTATACATGTTCAACTGACCTCGAAAGGACTATAACACGGTTTATTTTGGCCCAAGGCAGCTACTCTTAAGACATTCTTTATTGTACAGCTTGTATATGATCGTAGATTTATCATATTTTAAGGGAAAATACGAGTCATAATAACGAGCGTTCAAATAAAAACGTGGTCGAAGTTGGAACTGACACATTGGACGTAGGGAGTAGCTTATAGCGACCAACTTAACATCATTTCTCAACGAGCTGTGTAGCAGCTGTCAGTTTCAATAACGTTAATGACTATATAACTTTATTTTAAAGAATAATCGTGATAACAATAACAAACAATTAAAGGAGCTGCGGAAAGTGTCCCCCTCCTTGTTATAACAATAAATTAAAGCAGCTGCTGAAAGTATCCCCCTCCTTGTTCCAAGCACTTTTCACACCTGTTCCTCAAAGAATTAAAGACATTTTCTAAGATGCTCGGGGTATTGTTAATTTCACGAATCTTGTCTATAAGTCGAGCCTGCAGATGGTTTAAATCAGGAATAGGCAGTTCAAAAATAGTGTTTTTAAGGTAAGGCCACAAAAAGAAATCACACGGCGTAATATCACATGACCTCGGTGGAAATTCATGTTCAGCATTGAGACTTATTAGTCGATTTTGGAAAACTTCCCTCAACATATTCATCGTCTCGCCTGCCGTATGTGCCCTTGCGCCATCTTGTTGAAAGTAAAAGTTTGTAATTTCGTTTTCTTCCAGCTGGTTAACAAAAGGAGCGATAATTTCTTCTCTATACCTTTGCGCAGTAAGAGTACCATTAAAAAAAATAGGTCCATAAATCCTCCTTCGATTGAGAGCACACCAAACTCCAATTTTTTGAGCGTGTAGAGGGCCCTCGACAAAAAAGTTATCTGGTTTTTCAGAAGACCACATTCTCATATTCTGTGAGTTTACGTAACCACTTAAATGAAACCAGGCTTCATCAGAAAAAAAGGTGATATTATGAAGTTCACCGTAGTTGTTTAAAAACCATTCACAAAATACAGCCCGTCGCGGAAAATCAACTTCATGAAGTTCTTGCTGACAAGTTAAACGATAGGAGAACAAACGCAAATCTTTTTTTAACACTGTGTGGCAGGTACCGACTGATACTCCCACCATTTGTGATAAAACACGTACAGAAGTTCTTGGCGCATTTTCCATTATTTGTTGGACATTTTCTTTTAATTCTTCAGTCCGCTTTTTAGGTCGGCCGCTTCCTTCTTTTCTTGTTACACTGCCCGTTTCACGAAAAACATTAACACAACGCTGAACTGCACTTTGAAAAATTTTGTACTCAACAACGCCGGGAAATTGATTTTGAAATTCTATGAAACATTCCTCAATAGAATACTTCCATATTCCATCAATCTTGCGTCCATTTCTAAAGTAGGACTCTATGATAAACACTTTTTGTTCTTGAGAAAACACCATTTTAAACGCTTTTTAAAACGAAAATATTCAAATTGATAGCGGCGATATAGCGCTTTGACAGATGACGTTTAAGTTCATTTGCTATACGCTACGCCCTACGTCCAAATTTTCAGAACCAACTTGACCACGTTTTTATTTGAACGCTCGTTAGTTTCGGGGGGTTAGTGAAATCCTTAAAGACGACCCAAAAAGTGGAAGCCTTCGGACGCAACCAATCTTGATGTTTCCGGGAAAGTGAAAACGATAATTGTTATAGAAGATTGTGGTTTGAAGGTGTATAGGTACTATTGCTAAAGCATTAAGTATTTCTGAATCAGGAGTATTGATTATTATTCTACATGATATACGCTAGTAAAGTTACAAGATGGGTTTAAAATGTAGAATAAAAACTACATGAGCCGTAGATTTCTCAAATTTATATCAAAATTTTTAGGTGCAGACCCTAACTTTTTCTATAAGATTGACAGTGGTAGGCTTGAAACTTAGGTACATCATATGGATCTAGAACCAACAATAGTCTATGAGAGTCCATAAGAGTTAGCTGTCTTCAAATAAGGCATACACGGTCTTTAGCTGGGAAGCTTATGTCCTTTATTATGCGTCCTTTATGTCCTTTACAACAATATGCGAGTTCACAAAGCAGCCATAGTCCAGCCCATATTCCGTGACTGAAACTTCTTTGAGCTGCACCACCAAGTATGGATATATCTCTGAATGATTTTTTTTTATTCAGAAATTTGATGCAGCTCAGTCATGACCAATTGAAAGAGGATATTGACACCTATTTTGAAGGCCAAGAAGAATCACTTCTTTTTTGATGGAATAAACTCGTTGCAAGGAAGATGGTGCAAGCATGTTGAGGTTAAGGAAGATTATGTTGAAAAATAAAATAATTAAAAAAATCCTCTGTTCCATTCTCAAGGGGAGAATTTCTCTAACGCCTGTACAGTAATAAGCCAGCATCATCTACTGTTTTCGATTATAAATTAGAGATCGATATCGTGGGTCATGGTTAAACAGAATTTCGTGAATACTATTTAACAAAAGTTCGCAATATAGCTGTTACCTAACGTTTTACCTTTCATTCTAAAATTTGTTTGAAATGTTTGACTAATATTTAATTTAATCACATAATGATTTAAAGATTTTTTAGTACCCACTGTATTTTTATCGCAAATTTAAGCTATTCATAAATCTCTAAAATTTGTAAAAGGAAACAACAGGGAAAAGTGCATCTCGAAATCTACACAGTACAAACAAGTAGAAATAGCTTTTATCACGGAAATGCGGAAATTCGGATCCGTAATACGGGTTTTAGGACCATGGGGACTAACCTTAAGTACTAAGATATACGATGTAAAGAAGGTAAAGAGTGGTTTTATCCTCGATTGGGTCGACTCAAATGAGTATTGATCGCACTGCAACCATCATTAGGGTTCGGGGGTATAAGACGTAATAAAACGAAAATTAATCAAAAAGAACGTTAAGTTAATCAACAAGGGGTTGTTTCATTTTACATGGGTGCACGCGCTGAAACAATGAACAATAAATCATTCAGCCCCAAGTTTACTCTGAAAAGTTTCTACTAAAATTATTGTTTGGCGGAGGGATACTACGTTAAAATGTATGAAAGTTTGATTGTTATAAAGGCGTATTCTACGAAAAAAAAAGAACGAGGTATTGACCGCTACATAATTTTTCATAGCTCTGTTACTTGAATATCTAAAGGTTTTCCAAAGACATCCATCAGCAGTTATTAATGGTTATTTTAACTGACACTTAAATAACTGAGTGGGAAATAATAATTATTCATATTTATGTCAAAATGGCATATAGTAATGCATTCATAATTTTTATTATATAGTGTGATTCCACGATTGTGCTCTGAAGAGGACAAGAGGAAAATATTATGTATGAATGTATAAAAGAATCTAACTATGTATTTATAAAAGTCCTTCTTGTCCCCAAACTATTAAATAGTAACTATTTTCTTAATTTTATATGCAGTGTGTTAAATATTTTCAAAAATTTAAAAGTGACTACAAGCAAACTACCCAAATCTTTTGGATTACCGAAGAATGTCTCGAAGAGGTAATGTTCAGAAAAAGTTTTTTTGCAAGAAAAATGCCTCATTTCATATCAGTTAAATGGCTTGGACTAACTTATGATTAAGCCGAATAATGAACGATATGAAATAAAGCAATTATTTCGTTTAAAAAACAATTGACATTTCATATTTATAATCGTCTTGAAATTATTAACAATATCTCAACACTTTTAGATATTTTAAAAGGTCAGGACATTTTGCTTGGAATCACTTTTATTTTTTTTTTTTAAAAAATGGACAGGCTGCACATAAAATAAAGAAAGTAGTAACATTAGTAGTAACAGAATAATTTTTTTAAAACTTTACAAATAAAAAATTTGTCGTCCTCAGGATATAATTGTGGGACACACTATATATAGTGAACATAGAACCGTGCTCTTTGTGCTCTTAGACACTCGTTAACGTAGAAGTAAATTATTTTACTCTAAATTCTCAACAGTTGGAGATAAACCTCTGGTCTATTTGTCTCACTGCTTTTCATTTAAATAAAAGTGAGTGTACAAAACTCTATTTTTTCTAATTATCATACAGTGTGTATCAGCCAAATGAAATAAATTCAGTAATAAATAAATGGGGGCGTGTTCGAAAAAACGCTTGGATACGTCGATTGGTATTTTTAGTTGCGCATTTTTTTCAACAAAAATTTTTTATACAGGGTGTGTCATGTAACAGTGGTCAATACCAACTTTCTTATTTTGAATGCAATACCTTGTGTATTATTCAATTTTTGGATTTTTCAGAAAATTCTAGACATATTTCATATACAATGTCCTATACCTATCCTCAACTGTTTCAGAAATATTAAGTGTTTTTAGATTCATTGCAAAAATTAACATTAAAAAAAGATATACCCTGTATATGTTCCAAAGACAAAAATTCGAATAATTTTATCAAGGTTATTAGATATTTAGTCTCGCCGATGGAAAAAAACTACTGTGAAGGAACTGGACTGTACCTATTTAATTTGATGTCTACGTACATCTTGTATGTGGTTATTAATCGAGAACCTTTGACAAGGCAACCCTTATTATCCTTTCACACAAGGTGATCAAACGGGAAGTGAATTTAAAAACTTTCTATATTTTAATAATCATAGAATGACATGACAATTTCTACCTCAGTAATATTTTTGAAATAAACATTTTATTCTATGAAAAACTAAGTTCCCAGTAAACTGTATTTGACTATTTTTATTAAATGATTTTAAATTATGAATTTTTTAATGAAATACCATTTCTAATACACACAACGTCAAAAGTATTGGACTCCATGTGTAAAATAATTCTATAAAACTTTGTTTTCCTTACCCCTGTAAAAAAACTGTAGTTATTTAGAAGAAAAACGAAATAGTAAGCAGTTTCAGATAAGGTGTTACCAATATATAGTCAATTTTTGTAGAACATAAAATATATTTTGGTCATTCCTAGGTCAGCTGCTGTGCGTACAGCTCACAGATATCAAGAATTTGGAACAATAGAAAACAAACACACAGTGGACGTCCTTGAGCATCCAGCGAAAAAGACACACGTTATTTGCTCAGTATGCTCGTAAGACACTGTAATGTTTCAATTTCATCTCTCATGGTACACTTTTAAGATACTTCGAGTAATTTTGACGCCTATAATTAGAGGACGATTCCACTCCTTGTTAGAAGACCTTCACGAGATCCTGCTGCACTCCATGACACCGTGCAGCTCGTCTTAAACTGACATGGAAGCATAGAGATTGGTTTCTGCAACAGTGTCGAGGGATACAGAATACCAAAACCAGGTTGGCGAGAGTTGGTAGTGTAGAAAGTCTATGGACATTGTCAATAAAGACTAAATTTTACTCGTTCATTCCTATGAGGGGGAGACCGTAATGTTTTTTTTTTCTTGGGGGAGGAGTATCTCATTAATTCGAATAGCACAGAATATGACAAATCTAATTTATATCGAACACATCATCAGGTAAGCCCATTATGCCCCCTCTATGCAAAGAATTGGGTGAAAACTTGATCTTTATGGATGACAAAGCGCGAGCTAATTACGCAAGCAGCTTTCAGGCACGTCAAAAGATTGGAATGACCAGTTAACTCTTCTGATGCAAATCCCTACAATGAGAGATTTAGTGGCTAAAGCTATTCACAACCAGATTAGACCACTCTGTAGACAAGTAAACCGCAGGATCTAAAGAGGAATGGAGTTATATTATTTAAGGGATCATCAAAAGCTTGATTTTTTCAATGCACAAACTTTTGATGCAGTGAGTATTAACAGAACAGGAGTGAGAATTCATCTTTTATGTTTAAATTCTGCTTGAATCAACAGTAAGTGATACCAGTCTACAAATTTAACGGACATAAGAAAAAACGACAGATATTTTATACATACCAGCCTGTGCCAGAAGGTCTTTGTCATAGTGGTGCTGCTCGTACTCCGACATGCTAATTCTATGTACATTAATTTTAAGATTGTCCAGTGCAGTCTGGGTCGGAATTAATTTTCCACACTTTCTTTTGGCGAGCATGGGTGCCTTATTTAAATGCGTTAAGGTGACAATGGAGGGCAGTAACTTGCACGCCTCGCCGTCCACTTGCATTGGAATTGTTTTCGAGGTAATTATTTTGGCAGATCGGCACTGCGTGATGCAAGTTCCGTGACCCCCGGCTTGGAGCAGCGGCTGAAATATGAATTGGTTGGATTTAAGGGTTGTCATATGTGAACAAAAGCGGTATAGCAGCAGCTTCTGGATTTAAATACATTCATCCTCTGTGAAACCATGCAGCACAACATTTGCAAACAAAATTACTTTAAGTGTCGATCTTTGACAGTAGATCTAAATTGTAAAGAGAACTTGAGTGAATTTTTTTGGCGACATATTCTTAGAGCAAGTTATGACTTTACAATAGAATAACTAATATAAAAGCAGAAGGAAAGTACTTATTACATTATTGCTATTAGTTAAAGTCAATTAGATAATTTGTATTAATTACTTTCCTATGGATAATCTGTATGTGGTGGGTTAATTTATTTTCTAAAAGTGGTATTATAGATTTTCAAGAAAAATTTGAAATTGGAAATGGTATTATTATAGTATATTGGTGAAGCAATATTTTCCTCCCCTCCATTCACAGATTAGAAAAATAGTTATATAACATGTTTTAAATAAGTTTTGATTCTCTATTCAGCACTGAAAGGTCTGTTTCTACAGCAGTTAATGACTGACTTGAAACTATAAAAGATACACAGCCACACACAAAAAAAAGTTGGGTATACTTTTTATGCGACATATATCTTCCGTAGTAATTTGGCCTCCTGAACACGAACCTGGGGTCAGAATTGGCCTATCACGTCACAATTTTCTCCTAACCTCAAAAAACTTGTGAAAAATAGTGAAAATTGATGAAAATTTACTGGGAAAATTTGGAAAAAAATTTATTTCCACATCAAATAGTACATTTTTATGTAAAAGACTCTGCTGAATTCAAATCCACTGTCAGAATTGAGCTAGAACAAAGGATTTTTTTTCTAACCTCAAAAAACCGAGCAGGAATCGCTATTTTCAAATTCTGAGCGGATTTTGACCAGATTTTGTATAAAGGGGTTTTTTGGGTCGCTGATTACGAATATGAATTCACATTGTAAAAACTCAAGATGGCTGACCCAATATGGCGGGTGTACTTTTTTTAAATCCACCGATTTTAGTAAAATTTGGCATTATAAGGATTGCTGGTTGATCTCACCTTCATTAATCACACATCTGGAGCCAGATTTTCATAAATCAAGGTAAAAGATTCCACTCCGTCTAAAAATGTGACTCCGCTTAAAAAAATGACTTAAGGACTCTACACATGTAATGATGTGTAGTGTGATGTGCTTGTTTCCATGGGACAAGACAAAAAAGTTTCTACTTTATTCTTTCATTTATTTAGTCGTGCATGGGCTTATGGTATTCCAATTAGATTTTTTTAACTACTATGCAGCTTTCCTATGGCATTTAGAGGCTTTTATTTCTTAATAATTTTAAAGTTCAAGGAAAAGGATACATTACTGCCACACATCACATCACTGCATTTGCTTATGCTTTCAATCTAAAAATGTGACTTTGCCGAAAAAATGCCGCCTACTCGGCCTAAAATTATGACTCTGCCTACAAATTTTACCTTGATTTATGAAAAGCTGGCTCCAGATGTGTGATTAATGAAGGTGAGATCAACCAGCAATCCTTATGATGCCAAATTTTACTGAAATCGGTGGATTTTAAAAAAGTATACCCGCCATATTGGATCAGCCATTTTGAATTTTTACAATGTGAATTCATATTCGTAATCAGCGACCCAAAATATACAAAATCTGGACAAAATCCGCTCAGAATTTGAAAATAGCGATTTCTGCTCGGTTTTTTGAGGACAGAAAAAAAAGCCACAAGTTCTAGCTCAATTCTGACAGCGGATTTGAATTCAGCAGAGTCTTTTACATAAATATGTACTATGTGGAAATACATTTTTTTCCAAATTTTCCCAGTAAATTTTCATCAATTTTCACTATTTTTCACAAGTTTTTTGAGGTTAGGAAAAAATTGTGACGTGATGGGCCAATTCTGAACCCAGATTCGTGTTCAGGAGGCCAAATTACTACGAAAAATATATGTCGCATAAAAAGTATACCCAACTTTTTTTGTGTGTGTGGCTGTGAATTGACCGACTGATTTATTGCCTTAAACTCGCTGAAAGTACATACATGACGACTTAAGTGATCGAATATACCTAATAAATAAAAACAGTTGAAGACTGCTGCAAAACAAACCTATATTTGTCCAAATGCAGGTACGTGTTCTTGAGGGCTGCCTTTGTCGAAGACTCATCGCAACAGAGAACATTGAGATATTTACTAGATACTGAGGATAATGAGGATATAGTACAATGTCAGGCGGGGAAAATTGCCTGTAGAGTAGTTGTTTCATACAATATCAGTAGTTAAAAAAGTGCTGACTCTCATCACCATCCCGCTCAGAAACAAGGTATCTACAATATTTTACTGCATCGAGCATACACTATTTGCGTGGTAGAACATTTGTATGACCTATGATTAGTTCAGAGGAAATAGATATATCAACAGAAAAGTTGCAAACTATGCGAAAACCAAGGAAACCGAGGAATATCTTGAAACAACTTTTCTACCAAATATACAGGATGATTCATAAGTTATCCAAAAAAAATTGGGAATAGATGCGGCATGGAGTCAATATCGTAAAAAAATTGTAAAATCCTTATAGTTTCCGAGAAAAAAATTATTGAAGTTGTAGTACATTCAACCATAACAACTGGGACAACTGTAGTATCTAGCGTCATTTGCAGTACGCGTGGAAAGCCACGTGGCCTCTGCGACTCCAAATACTGATATCCAATTTCACAGTCGTCCTTGCGATACTGCTTACAATAGTTTTTTAGTAGTGAGTGTCAAAAATGGCCTACGTGTATAGCAACTCGGAGTTGATTGTTGATTGAAATTTTTTTTTTTGGATAAGTTCTGAATCACCCTGTATAAGGGTGTACTTACAAGATAGGTCGCCTTCTAAGAAAAAAATACATTCAAACAATACATTCAGTACCTCAAGGAAGGTAGGAGCAACTTTTCACAGGACGAGCTGCATCAACGATATTGGAGTTTGAAGTATGAATAGACCTAAATGCTACCAAAATTCTAGTGAAAGAAAATTTTAGCTAAAGCTGCAGACATCCAGAAAAGTCTATAATTTCAGACCACGGTTTAGAAGTTCTTGGAATTTGGAAAGGATTTGTACTTAAAAATCAAAGAAGGTAACTTCACATGAGAATAAGATTTGCAAAACGTTGCTGAAATTGACTAAAAGGTAGCTAAGCGGCTTAAGGCGTCAATATTTAAATTTTTTACCTGCATTAGACTCTATCCAAATTTGAGTGACGGAATAAAGATACAATTACTGTCATTAGATATCCTCAAATTAATGGCAATTAAAAAACAAAATTTATAGATTCAAATACGTAGAGAATTTTAGTAAAGGAATAATGTTAGAACATTATTGGTACTGATACCAGTGGATCAGCTACGATATGCATGTCTAAGAAGTTTTAGCAGTGATAGTTGTGTATTTAAGTACACTTTAAGCGTTTAAAAGAGAATAAATTCGTATTAATGTCACATTCACATCTAATGCTACTTAATAACTTTAATTGAAAAATGTAAAATTTGTACAAACCGAGTTTTGCAAACCTGCTCCTTATATGGCAAAATATCTAATCACCAGCTTCACAGGTTTTTCTGAAGAAGAGACAACTGGGGACATTCTATTTTTCTCGACACTCAACTGAATTAAAAAAAATATATATTGCTCAATAGAAAATCTAAAACCTATACAATTTAATTACGTGATCATCTTTTCAATTTTTCAAAAGATAGTCACGCCGTTTTTTGGAGAGATGGATTGAAGGTAGGGAAAGGATTGCTTTACAATATAATATTTTAAAAAGCAAAGGTACCTGACTTACTGTTTCAAACATCTTTCTTAAAAATACCTAAATAATACCAGATACATACGGACCGCCCGGTATATAAGTTTGTTTTGCAATTTTTGCAATATGTGAAGTAAGTATTAAATAATTATTTAATATTATTTTAACCCTGTCTCAGAAAAGAAAAAAAGGGAAAATAAAACACAGTGCAACAGAAAATAGTAGGTGTGAGCTATCCCTAACTTACTCACAAGCTGATATGTTGTGAGACCGACGACTTCGATGAGACCATCTTCAGTGCTTGGTTCGGAGGCGCCCATCGACCTATTCCAAGGACGAGTACCCCCACCATAACTGGAAAAATTAAAGTTAATGTTAATATCTTCAAATTTGGAGATAAATGAAATTATTGAATTAGAAAAAAATTTAAGCAATCCTGAAACAAGTTCAGACTGCGAAATGTTCGAAATATTTGTAAAATGTATGTAAATGTAAAATAATAATAATAATAATAAAAACGCTTTCCTCCAGTTCGTACATAGTTTGTAATATTCATATTCATAATATCTAATAATATAGCTCTATATTCAATATGTATAAGTAAATCAAACTGCTATAATTAGAACGTTATATGACAAATTGCGAATTTTAATCTAAAAGCTTATATTTTAAGCTTATTTAAATTAAAATCTATCCAAATTTATATTATTACATAAATTGCATAGAAATATAAGTAGAAAGTACTAACCAATTATAATACGCTATTCGTTAATAACACAAAATTTTGTTGAAAATATTCAGAGCTATAAATACAATCCCTATAGTTGACAATAAGATTGAGCTTTTCTATCACTTAAAGATAAAAAGAATCTTCTTCAGTAGTAATAATCTTAATAAAATAATTTTTTTATATTTTATCAAATCTAATATAACTAGTCTTTGCAAAAAACAATACGTTTCACGTTATACGGGAAAAACGTTATCATAAATAGACAATCAAGTAAATAAATAGTAGTAATTTATGTTATCTGTAGTCAAGCCGTGTGCCGCTCTATGCTCACGATACGTAATGCTATTTACTTCCATAAAAATGTGTGCCACACACTCCTCCAAGCAAAGCGTCAAACTCTCTTACACACGCAAAAACGACGATGAAATACACGCGCAACGTCCTTGGACGGCAAAAAACTTGAACTATTCACCGGTACGCCAGGACGATAGGGCAGGCATTGGCGTGCCGCTAGATACGTATCGAATAAATTGATTGATGCGAAACTTCAGATTAAAGGGAGACATGTAAAGTATTTGATGCTTCGGCACATTAGTAAAAATGGCATCTATTAAAAACTTCATCATCCCTGGCGTTCTGGGCATAATGTAAGTTTCACTTACAACAACAAAAACAAGCGTGCGCAGGTATTATCGATCACCAAATTTGCTGAAGTTTATAGTTTAGACGCTAAATAAAACCAACTTTTTAATTTTCACCTTTGAGAGTCCGTAACTTGTTAACGAAGGACCGTATGAAAAAAATTTATATGAAGAACTGATATTATTTTGACTTCTCTATTTGTATTCGACTATTTTGTATGAAGTACCGGGTACATCATGCATATTCTTATAATGTAGAGTGCAGTTATAAGAACGGTTGTGCCATTTTTTGTTTGAATAAAATTACATAAAAGAAAACCCGGCCTACAGCCAACCTTGCACCACATTGCAGCCGCTTTAACATTTCCGATCTCAATACATGATTAATTGCTACAAGTTTGTGGTAATTCGAACTTTAAAATTTGCTTATTTTTAAAATGTGAAAGTTGATTAACAATATGTGGATTTTGATACATTTTCAAACAATATTGTTCGAAAGTTTGACACTACTTAGATGTCCTTATTCGTGTTATAATTTTGTGCATTCTCATGACTATTTATTGCAAACTAAATTAAAGACAGGAAAAGCACTCCTGACCGTTACAGCACCGTTTGGCTCAAGAAGCAACTTCTAAAGGCGCCTTTTAGGCAAGACTTGAAACTTCCAGCGAAAAGCAGCTCGTTTGCGAAATGTCGTGGATTAGCAAAGTGAATGGCGAAACGATTAGCGAAGTGTAAATGTGAGGAGGCGCGAACGAATTGACTGCTTAAGGGTTGCGCAACACTAATTATAAATACGTTCTAACTAGGGAGTCGGCATTAGAGTCTGTAAGGATTAGTTTGACTATTAAATGGACCGTTAAAAAAGTTAAGGATTTTCCAGGCAGTAAAAAAATTGCCGAAGCACTGTTTCAAGCAGGGGAGGGTTTTAAATTAATGTCTTTCAATTTAACCACGAACTGTTCCTGTGGTGGTAGCAGGGGCTGATTAAGAGAATGGGATTCCTGAAATTTATTGGGTGTGCTTGTATAAAATATATTCCAAGTGAAGGTAATAGTAATTAAACTTACACAAAATCCAATATGACATTTGATACTAACAATATATAACAAAGATATCAGGTATTAAATGAAAATTATTGTAGACGTGTATTGTTTATAATTATGCAAAAACATATTTAAATAAAATATCAAATGGAAATTATACAATTCAAAATATAATAATTAATGACAATAGTTACTTTATTACTCATTACTCACAGCATTTTCACATTTTAATAGCGATATATGTTGAAAAGAGGGAAAACTTTATTATATTTTAGTTTGTGAAAGTCATACTTGATAAAAATGTGTGCTTTTGTTCAAATGCAGAAAAATGTAGTTCTATGTATTCCCATATACAGGGTGTCCCAGAATAACGTATACAACGGGATCCCACAGATTCGTGGACTCAGAATAGGCAGATTTAGGCTAATTCACTTATATCCGAAATGGCTTCCTTTGGCCGCCAGATAGCCTCAAAGTTCAAGAAACATTTTGAACTTTGCGTAAATAACTCGAATACGTATTATTCGATTTTGATTATTTTTGAGGTGTGGACTTTTGCTTTCAATCTACACATTTTGATGTTATACCGAGTGTTTTTTTAAAACTTACAACTTCTACAAAATTGATGTATGGTGATAATATCCGTTCATAACTTTCAGGCAAAATAACAACTATTTTTTATTTGATAGGTGATACCATTTGGAAGATTTTCTTATAGAATCTTGATTAAACGAGCGGTTTGAACACAAAAAATATTTTTTAAATGTTTACATTATCTTGCCATCCATATTACAATACTTAACAAAGTGCTAGTAGGTACCGATTTTGTAGGTTGTCTGTAATTTCGGTTTAATCTTTGTCACTGTACCTGCCAATTTTGTTTTATCACAAGTGAAATATTAAATATTCATAACGAACATGTGCTCAAGAAAATGCCACATGCTATCAAAGTGAAACAGTATTATAAGCAATTTCGTATCAATGTTTGGTTTGGAAAAATTATTCTGTGTAGGTGTAGTTGTTTTTTTCATATATCAAAACATTTTATTGAGAAAAGCTATTTACAATTCAATTTTATTTGCATATGCCAAATTATAATCAATTAATATATTTCTAACCAATTCTTAACAGGGTACACCTAGGGTACCAGGGTATATGTTGACCCACTTCTATTTCATAAAATGAAAAATAGACAAGTTTCCCTCCTCTCAATTCCGTCACCCCGTATAGTGGACACGCTATATGGGGTGTTCTTCCAATAATCTCCTGTACCTTACTAATTTGAGAAAAAAGAAGAGTTATGCAAAGATTGTTTCAATTTTGGTAGTGCACCTGCCAAAAATGTGTACAGTTATACTGGGTATTTTGTATGGCCTGGGCGCTATCGATTTTTTAAATGGAACATCAAGTTCCAAGTTTGATATAGCTTTATGTTTAATGAACTGTTTTCGAAAATAATTCAGTTGCAGCGTATCTGGTAATTTCAAATATCCCCTAATGAAGAGAGATCGCGGTTCTCATTGTTAATTTCAAATTAAAAAGCTCTTTTTTTTTGACTAGTCTAACGTGTTACTCTTATAACGAGTCTTTTGTGAAGAAGGCAAAATTTACGAAATGGAATTTGGAACATATTAAAATGTTATACATATACTTTCAGTTTATGCACCTAGAATTGAATTATACTCCTAACACCCAATCAACTGCTAATAATAAACAATTATCTTTGCTGTTTTTTACCTGTCCATGTTTGTCAATGGAGAGAATAAAAAAATTCAAATTATTCCTTTGAATGGTCACATTATTTAAGTCTCAATACATCAGGGGACTATTTTTTGAAAGTACTTCAGTTTTCACTTTTCATTTTACAAATGTAAAAAAGTGAAGTGTAATTCTGTTTTATAAAAAAATGTAGGTACTTTACATAAATATTATGCATTTTAAGAACCTTCAACTATTCATTTTCACTGTGCAGATTACCAACTACTTTTTTTAATATAAATTTTGAAAACAGAAAATCGCCACAAAAGTGAAAAATAAGGAGTGAAAAGTAGGTACTTACAAAAACAGGCCTCGGGTTTGTATTAATTATTATATTTACACATAATTTTTAGTTTACTTTGGATAATTAATTACTATCAACTGTTTACTGGATATAATTCAATGCTAATAGGTGCATGTTGCCCAAAGAGTAGTTGCTTCCCGCAATATCAGCAGTTAGGAAGTCTTGTCTGTGGGGCTAGATATCTTTTGCATATTTAAGTGTCTGGTATCGAAGAATTCATTTAGTAACATTTTTTTTAAATTTGGTGGAGCAAAGAGCTCTTAGAACTCTGAGCATGACAAGGTCAAATTTGTACCAATATTTTATTTAAAAACAAAAAATTTAAACAAAAACATAAAGCAATAACAGTATCTTAGAGATGAGAACTATATAATACTGGGGAGAAACATGTTTTTACGAAATATTTAGATATAGGCTTTTAATTTCTGAAATAGAAGGGACTAATTTTTATATCCTTCAGAAGTACGTTATATCAAAGACATAATCTTTTCCTCTATCCACCTCTGCCTGAATGAGAATCACACTAAAACGTCATGCTCTTATTTTTTTCTACAATGTATATCCTGCAAATGTGTATTATGAAAACGTATCGCGTCTGTTTTAAAATATAACAATTTAACAGGTTCATAGCGTGCTTTCGAGTGATACTGTCAGCTGCAGATGTCACATTTCGTCCTGTGTGGCGAAATTTGTCAATTCCCACTTTGTATCTAAATAATGTTGTGACACGTCAGTGATGAGGGTATAATTTCTTTTTAATTCAAACAACTTTGTACAGGACGACGTTAAGTAAGTAAACAAGCCTCACAAAGCTTTGATGCGAAACTTTAGTGTAACGGTATTTAGTAGCTGCAGGTAGGTCTGATACGTTTATT